ACCTTTCCGCCATCACGTCAGTTGACAACAACCACCCGACAATAAATAGCTTCGGTTCTCTTACAGCGAATTGCGTGAACATCACGGAGTAACGGAGTTTTCCTCCCTGACTGACTGAAAAGATCTCTGTCCCAGCCGGGGCTGGTTTGGGTCTCCCGGTAAAAGTCTACTTTAGCCCTCCGTTCGGATGTCACTCAGACTTACTATACTGGTTTACCAGCGCTTCGCTGTCTCACACAGAAGACCAAAGTTCGATTCCCAAATGAGGAGAAACTTTTTGTCCAGTATTTCGGTATATCTGTTGGTGTGTAGACGGTCAATGGGCTAGATATACAATACCACAATGCCGTGGACCCTGGTCCGCATCTGGGTTTTTTTTCCCCTCACTGTCGTTGTCATCTTCTGAGATGTCTAATGTCAGCTAAAAACAAACAAACCAACAAACGAACTATATATCTACTGACATTTCAGAAAAAAGGCCCCCAGTTTGATTTTTAAAAGTTTTAGATAACAGACTGTGTTAATGATATCTTAAAACAAACAATACTATCTAACAAAAAAGGGATCTTGGCTATTGCACAAGAGAAGCAAATCAACAGAATAGTAATTATTTAACCGTAAAAAAAAAAGGAAGTGGACATGCAGCTAAAACAAAGGAATACCGTAATAAAGAGGGAATAGTGCCACTACTAGTACTAAATTTTGTGTTTGCACTTGCTAATGTCCCGCATTTCCCGAATCACAAAAACACAACGTGTTCATTTTCCTTTTCAAAACGAACTAACAAAGTCAGATAAAGCGTATAATGAACTTGTTTCTTATGATACAAGAGAGCAATCACGCAAACTGGGACAAATACACACCAAATGCAGCGTATTATTAATGCCCACATGTAGTTCTTCTTGACCAGATGGATGCGTTCTCTACCCATTCCTCCTTGATAACTTCGGTCATCCATTAGCCAGCTTCTATGTAATATCACCCCTAAGTTCTCTGCCACATTTGATCCTAACTCACAACTACCTACAACGAGCTAGATATTTACGATTATATTTTTTGAAGCTGAAGTCAACGTAATGAAAGGACCCAAATGAAATATTGAGACATGTATTGCAACCACGGAGAAAGGGTTAATATGTCACGCTTCAGTCCCCTGCCTGATGACGGCTAGTGACGTCGCAGTGGTCACTTCGCACGCTCTCTGGGACGTTCCTCAGCCTGGCTACCACCTTCAGGTCCGTTCCTTTAGCAGGCGTGCACGAACGGTTTGCCGCAATGATGTTGTCTCTTTTGTGCTCGTCAAAGATAGTTTTTCCATTAATTTGTTTTGCCATGCTCTGTACCGAGCGTAAGAGAACGATATCAAGCATAATCAGCAAAATTCTTTTCGAAGCGAAAGATAGCATAACAAAATAATGTTTCCCCCCATCTCCTTTGTTTAGTCAGTTTTGCGGCGCTCGCAACTGCATAGTCACAATACTAGGGGTCGAAACACAAGTTGGTTGTATTCACAATAGTTCTTAGTACGGCTTCATTTTGTCAATGATCAGGTTAAAATTAACGTTAAAAATTCATGGTAAAAAGCTTAATCTAAAAATGACATATTAAAATAATCGTATTTAAAACTTAGTGAAAAGGTCAAATGCATTTATAAAATCGAGAATTATATCGGGATCAACAAGGGAGAACAGATGTTTTTGATTTTGTACACTTTGAATATTTCCTTCTGTCCTCTCCACAGAGCGGTCATTATGTTAATATATTGTGTCTGAATGGTAAAATCTGTGTTTCATCCGACACAGGACGGTTTCTCATCACCCTGCTTTTTCCCATCTCCTAATAGGTCTTCCACTTCCTCTCTTACATATTGATTCCAGATTGTGTTTCGGGGTTAGAATCAGGGTATTTGGTATTCAGTTTCTATTCCTTTACCTTATGTTCTGTATAGACCTGCAATTATATTCCCAATTGCGATGCGTCAACAGTCCAGTTGGAATCAAGCTGAACTGTGGTTCAAACAACATTGAGTATTTACATTCTTTAGCCAGGATTGTTGAGAAGTTGGTAAAAGTAAACTTGAACCACCTCTTAACCACCTCTTCACAATTTGTTTAACATTGCACGCCCCCCAGGGGTGTCCATCCTCTGTGTGGCCACATTTAGGTCGTCGTAGCGTCTTTTACGCATGACGTCACGACTACAACTGTGGCCCAAGGGAAAGTGAAGACCAAGGATAATTTGTGAGCTGACATTGTAATAGGAAAGACCCGTTCGTTTGGGAGGGTATAGGGGTCCAAACTATTTTCACCGAGAAGTTTTTCAACCTTCTTCTCGTAGTGCTGGGTCACATCAAATATGGACATTGGACCGGTTGTCCCGTCTTCTACTTGTACGTGGTATGAGTCAAACGAGGGGATAAATCTACAATGAACCTTATTACACAATGTGTATCCTACGCACTTTAGTATACCAACACACCGTTCTGCACCTTCTCATACGATCTTTGGTCCACAAAATACCCCAAAGTTAAAGTCTCGACCCCTACCGGTGTATTATTGTACTCAAAGTCTATTCAGTTTATGCAATGTTGTATTGGGTCGGATAGGCGGAGTCGAGAGGCATTTTAATTACATGCTACCAGTACGGTACGGGCGAAAAGGGCGTCTGACATTATAACTTACAGACTCGTACCTGTATTTATTGCTCCTTTTAGTAGGTTGAAAATATGAAAGGACATTTTTTACCGCAAACCTTGTCAATGGAACTACTTTATAATATACTGATTGTCGTCTCCCC